TGAAGGAATAAAGATTTCTCTGATTTTCTGAAAAGCCTCGTTAAATATTTTTTATATTAAGAAAAGCTTACAACTTATTGCTCACTTATTATATTATAATTGGTTAGCTTTTTGTGATAGTGATAATATGGCTATACAAAAGTACATATTAGGTCGTCGAGAAATTAATGTCGCGTTCTGAACCACTTTCATTAACCGTCCCCCAAAAAACGTACATCACGTATAATAGTTAAACGAACCGCCTAAACGTTACGTTCGTGTAGCTTATATAATATGTAAAGTTTAGTATACTCTAATCTCTTATAGTGATGGCACACATTTGGCATGTAATGCTGTTTGAATACAAAAAAGGGAAACAACGCCTCTGTAGCCACAAAGAATATCAAAGAAGTTTATGGAAATATTTTGTACGTAACAATGATTCAGAAAATTTCGTTCGGGTGACTTTAGCCTTAAAAACTGTGATGGCAGGGGCCGACATGTTGGAATTGAAACTGATGCTCAGAGGACACTTGTTGAGTCTAACCCAAGGCCATAAAATTGCATGTCTCTCATGAAACATTATGTAAACATATAAGGAATGTGGGAAAACTCGCTTCGTCTCTTCTGGCGCATAATGTGCGTGAACCATTTTTGGATAGAATTGTCACCGGTAATGAAAATGGATTCTCTATGCGAATATTAAACGCCAAAAAACAATGGCTCAGTCCTAGAAAAAAACCACTTCCGACCCCAAAATCTGGACTCCATCCACAGAAAGTGATGCTTTGCATTTGTTGGGACATCAAAGGAGTAATTCATTTCCAACTCCTCAGTCCACTGCGAACTGTCAATGCAGAGATCTATAGTCAGCAACTGGAACGTTTAAAATCAGGCCCTTCATCAGAAATGCCCTTCACTCGTTAATCGTAAAGGTGTTTTTCTCCACAAAAATGCACGTCAGCATGTGGCACATTTAATGCAACACAAGGTTGTGGAGTTGGATTGGGAAGGTCTCCATCACCCACCATATTATCCTGATATGGAACCATCAGATTACCATCTTTTTCGTTCGCTGCAACACCATTTTAATGGGAAAACGTATGCAAATGTGGAAGGTGTTAAAGAGGACATCGAAATGTTTTTTGCTTCAAAACCAAGTGATTTCTTTAATCAGGGCATTAACAACCTGATTGTAAGACAGAAAAGCATCATTGATAAGAATGGAGACTATTTCATTTACTAAATGTTTTGTTTTGATACATAAGTTGTTCAGGTTTTTTCATCTAGAAAAAAAAAGATACTAATTTCTTGATGACCTAATATGAAACACATGTTTACCAATATGTTAAAGACATACATCATGACAGTGAAAATAGAATTGTTAAAATTAAATGCTGTAACCTAATATCAATAAATGTAAGAAAAAAGAAGCTATTTTAAGAAAACAAAACAGACCTATAACAAATGCTAAAAGTAGGTTTATATTAACCATAAGGTCAAGTTTTTCTATTCCAATGTAGCTGTTTTCAATTATATGTATGTGTATGTGTGTATTCTGTTAATATAGTTTTCTTTAGTACAGTAATTTTTGGTTTATTCTGTATTTTGAGTGAAATGATTTAAATTGTTCATGTATACCTATAGTGCATTTTCACATGTAGTGTTTGAACTTTATTGATCTGGGTGTGTTATTTTTAAGAAATTTCTACAAAGATTGTTATAAACAAAATTTAGAGTTTAAATGTAAGAAGTAAAATACTTCTATTTGTTACATAGATGATTTAAAGTGGTGTGAAATACCAAACTAAGGACAGCTGAACAGTGAAATTATTTTTCTGCTTATTTTATTTTACAGATTTGGGGGTTCTTGTGCTTATTATTTCAAAATACCATTCCATTTAAACAAAGATTGATACCACAATAAATGGTTAAGTCTCTGTTCATGTTGCTGTCTTTTGAGTAATAAAGACATTTTATTTACATTATTTCTGCTGATAATATTCAAATATTGCATCTCTGTTTACATTTTGCATTTAAATGCTCATCAATTTTCCAAAGATTTTTTCTTGTAGAAGAAATTATTTTAAAGATTGCACAGCATATGTAAATTTTGATTATGGGTTGTGATTCTGTTGGTTTGGCCATGTGTAGTGTACTATTGTCTGCTATAATGTGAAAGTTTGTT